TTAAAAAATTTATCTTTAGTTATTATAAATTTATCTTTAGTTTGTTAGAAAACCGATATATTTAAAAGTATAGCTTTTAACTATTTATACATGATGCGTTTTAATGTCGCATAATGGCCGCATCATATTGTAAACTCAAATTTCACTATCCCGTGATATTCACGTTACGCGGTATTTTTTACAATACCTGTAATTTCCAAAGGAATAAGAAAATAATCGATTAGATTGTTTGAAATTTAAAATTACTTATATAAAGTACAGATTAGCTTGCATCCGTAGAGAAGGGATTGCAGCAAACGATTATGCCGATTTGCCCTCGAACATTCGATCAAACGAAACTTTTCAATTGCGAGAATTCAATTGCTAAATTGTAAAACACAAGCAATTCTCTGTATAAATTTATTGCTATTTCTATCGATAATTTTGTCTCGTTGCCTCAATTCGCGTCAGCGTGAATCACCAAAATCATTGACCGTGGGAAATAAAAGACTGAATAAGGATAATTTTCAACCTACGTACTTTAGAATAATTCCCAGTGGTCGGATTGTCCGCGGCGCACACGCAATGTTCGCATATACTATCTCTCTCCTATATTTGCGACTTTAGCCGTAATTACATTGACTCGACAGGAGGGAGAATTCACTATTGGCTGCACGCGTTACGAGATGTATCGACGAAAGAAAATTTTCGGCGCTGTAAAGCTGCAAGTACAAGAGGTAATCGCGAAGCGTATAATTATATAATAATCTATCAGATAATTAATTGCTATTAATTATATGGATGCCCAAAGGCTTTTGTACTTTATATGGTAGTGTTTGTAGAATGAATTATTGAGTCTGGTAGGAAGGGAGCGTCAACTGCCATTTAATCGATAGTTTTCCCTCATTACGATTAGGCACATCTATAACTGTTTAATGAGAATATTCAATTAAATGCATAATAAATAATGTATTTTTACATTAGTATGGTTATTCTGCGAGTTTGTAATATTATAATTAATGGCCTTTATTCGTAATATGATACTTTATTATTATTTAAGTACTCAAATCAAGATGCATAATTGTTAATCAACGCTTTCCGAGCTAAACTTAGAAATGTCGATTAATAAAGTTTAAATATTAACAAATATTTATTAATTTAAAAATGCATTGCTTATTAATGAATGAAACCAGTTGTTACATGATATTTCATAGTCGTTGGTCTTGATTATAAAAATTAATAATTCACATGATGGGGGAGAATATCCTTACTTTTATTTCAATAAGAACATTTTTTCTTTTCGAAAACAACGCGTCGAAATATTACGTTTAGGAATGCTGTTCAGAATCATCTCGTTTCGAGCGCAAAAACATTCGTTGACCAATTTCTCTCTACGATCCTCTCTGCCGTAAATTTTTAACGTAAAGCCAATGAAATAAGCACGTAAGAGGGATAGAATCATGAAAAATAGCCCTTGGGGGACAAAATCGAAAAAGCTATTCACGTCTAGATTGAACCCTTTGAGGAGGTAACATGTTATACATGTCCGACCCATATACGGCTTTTTATACGTAAATTTTTAACGTAAAGCCAATGAAATAAGCACGTAAGAGGGATAGAATCATGAAAAATAGCCCTTGGGGGACAAAATCGAAAAAGCTATTCACGTCTAGATTGAACCCTTTGAGGAGGTAACATGTTATACATGTCCGACCCATATACGGCTTTTTATACTTTTATTTATTTTTTTTTTTTTTTTTTTTTTTTTTTTTTTTTTTGTCTTGGATTAATACTGTAAAAGAGCTGAAAAAGCTTGTATGCTTGACTAAATCGGTCGAAAAGAGGAAGAAAAAATGATAAAATCACCGTAACCCTCAATTCAAAGAAGCAATTAAGTATTTTTTTTTTATACAATAAAGATAAGATACAATTGTAAAAATCACTAAATAAGTAAAGAATAATAAAAATTGTTTCATTATTGCTCTCAATTGATATGTTATTATTATAATTATTCCACAAATTTACCAATTGTTAAACAAGTCAAAGAGCATAAAAGATAATGAAAAATTATGAAATATAAGTTTTGTATTTCTCTGTTACTTGTGTCGGATTCTGTCAATTTCACCGATTATTCGACTAGTTTATCACGAATCGTCAGTATTGAAATTGCGTAATTCAAAACGACTAGCTACATACTCTAAGCTCCATCAGTGCAATAAAACTTTCTAAAACTCAACGATCCGATACAATTGCATGGATACCATAGCATGTAATTATAATAATTTTTAGATTCAAACGTATCGACCTGTTATTGCCTTTATAAGCTTAAATACTTCAACTTCCATTCTCTTGGGCAAGTAAAGAGGTAAGGGAAATTGTCCTCTCGTGTAAATACAGAAAATGGGAGAGAGAAAATGCATCGCACGATCGCTCGCAAGTGAACGACCGAAGCCTTTGAAAATGTCCTTACGTGCACGAGATTACGCTATAACCAATACGACATTCAGATCGAAATCGCACAAACGATCCGAGAATAATAAGTGGAAGTACTCAAGACTCTTATCAAGTTGAGGTCACTCAACTTTCGCCAGCGAGCGTAACCCGCTTATATAAGTCGTGGAGGTGTTGGCGGAAATGCGTCTCAAAGTGGCTTTTCACCTTCTCGCTTCTCGAAACGACGCAACACAGATATCGACGATGTGTTAATGGAGTATTGGAAAAAGAATGTAGGTTATTCTATTTATTAGCATTTGGATTGTAATTTTAACTAACCTTTACATTGGCATTTCTAATATGTAACTAATAAGAGTTTTTTACAAAATCACGTAGAAAAGAAGGTATTCGCTTGCTTGTATTTATGATTATTGGCAAATTTTAATAGGACGATCCTGTAGATAAGTTATGAATAAATTAAATATTTTCGAGAACATTGTTTAAAATATTATCAGAATATTCATAAAAATAACATACGACAGTTCTATCGGTAGTAATATATCGTTGTATGCGTCTTACTTTGTGTACTGCAATTGCTTTTAATCTTAGATTGTAAAAAATGAGTACTAGCAACCATAAGAACAATACTGTTTATTATTTACTCTTTCAGTTTTAATTTCACAAATTATTAATGGCTCTATTTCAGCTATAATTATAATTTCAATATATTAAGATGATAGCACGATCTTGAAAAGAAAAACCAATGATTTAAATGTAAGAGCATTATTGAAGCATTAAATTTACTTTTTCGAAATGCATATATGTGAAATTATAGTTTTTTTTTTTTATTTTTGACTTATCTACATCAAAATCATAATAATTTTCTTTTTCCTTGCCAAAACAAAAAGCTTGTTCAAATAAGAATTTCCAAGCTTAGCTTTTAACAAATAAGCCTACCTTTTCCCGCAAATTCCTTGTTACCAAGTAAATTAAATGTATTTACTACTTTTGATAAGAAACCCATATATTTTTGAAAATAATAATAAAATGTTCTTTTCATCAAACTTCAAGAAATTCTAATACTAAAAAAAAAAAAACAAAAAACATATCAATTCATATTAGAAGATGTTAATCAAATATATAAAAAATCTCAAATTTTATTAGATATTTAATGAATATACAAGAGATTTTTAAATTACAATAATAAAATATTTTATGCAAATTTCAATTATCAACTTACAATGTATAATCATTTCTATGATGTATTAAAATTAATTTAAACGATTCGCCGTAATATTAATAGGAAGATACATTTTCAATGTAAAAATCTGGTGTAAAAGTAGAAAATAAAGAAAATATATAAAAGATTTCAGTAATTTTATTTTTCATTTTTATATAAATGAATAAGTATTTCCTTAATTTTACAAGGAAAAACATAAGTTACGTTACATATTTAATATTCGCAATGTGAATAAATACATATAATATTTTTACTGAAATTAAAAATTAAATTTCGTAATAAAATTAATTAAAAGTCTCAGTAGAATTATAAAGATAATTTTCTATGATCTTATTTTTAAATTTTATTAAACGGTAAAATTATTATCAAAAATCGTAGCTCTTTGATAGAAAATTAATGGCGAGAAAGCAATATGCAAAATTACAGACTTTCTGATATTGTAGACTTGAAAAGATATTTCGTAGAAACAGATATGAAATATAATCCTATAAAAGTTTGAATTTGTTAAACCTAAATAATCTACAAAAGAGGCTTTAATGTATGCTGAACTTTTAATTTGTCTTTTGCTTGATAAATTGTATAGAAAAAAAATCTAATGGAAATTATAATTAAATATTACCTAATGATGTTAGATAGTATTAATTAAAACTGGTAAAAAAATTATATAAGGAAAGAAAATTGTAGAAAATAGCCGTTGTGCATGCAATTTAGTTTGTTTATCCATATGTTAATTATATCGTAAGTGAGATTGTACAACGCGATAAATTATGATAATCACTTTCAAATTTACGCGCACATTATGACGTAATTAAAGAACTGAAAAAGAACTATAATTATCTCCTTCGTTCGCTTAATTTCAATCTACAGTATAGAAAAAGTACAAATTAGTGAAATAAATACACTTCGATCTTATCAGAAAATCCATTGCCAGCAAGATAAATAGATTGCAAAACCAACTTGTATAGCGAATTTTTTATACCTTAGTTTATCGATCGCAATGATCCTGCAAAGCAACGAGCACAATCGCGCTTCAATACTCTCCTCAAATAATCTTAAATAAATGTCAGGTAAAATCGCAGATAACCCACCGACCTAATAAAATCGCACGTGCCAATAATTCCTTGGCCATCACCACTACACAACAACCACCACCAGTAGTCCTACCCCCTCCAAGCTACCTGCCATTAGCCACCCAGCCCCCCTCCCCGCCCCTCCCTCCGATACCATCGTACTTTTAACAGCGACACGCATGTAAAGCTGGCCAAGTAGTAAGGAAGGGATAAAAAAAAATCCATAATCCATCCGACGCTCGACGTGCACGCACGCATTCTCACACAGGAGTACTCACATGCTTCCGGTATGATCGAGCCACCTGCGCAGTTCCTCTCCCTCCTCTTCCTTCTCGTCCTTCTCTTCCTTTTCCTCTTCATCCTCCGCATCCTCCTCATCAGCCGTCACGACCATCCCCGCGAGCACAGGCCCCTCGTCCTCATCCTCGTACGCGCATCTTCGACTTTCTACGTCGCCGGGTACGAGTCTTGCGAGTATTTTCCCCCGACATTGGAACTTCTTACCTCCTCCCGCCCCCTTCCACCGACACACCGCCGTCCGAAAGGGTAATTTCGACGATGACGCCGGCATCTAGCGGCCAGCTGCCGAACTCTTCGCCCTGGACAACAACGCGTAACGCTTGCAACGAATGATGAGCCGTTACTCGCTTCTCTGGGCTCAGACTCCGTGTGGTCAAAGGCTGAATTGCTCATGTCCTTGTTAGCGAATACTCAGGACAAGAGTGTACTAACGTAAGGGAGGACCACTGGTGTCCTCTACCCTCGCTGAATCGGATTGAGAGACAATTGAGAGTTCGGCCCGACTCGGATGCGCGCTCATTTCGTGCACACAAGTCATTAAAATTCTCTTCTTAAAACTTATCGATTGCTCGCGCTTTTTTGGCTTATCCTCGTCTCACTTCACCGCGGGCTCTTCGCTTTTTAGAAACATATCGAGCGACTTTATTCTCTATGTCCGAGGCAGTCTTCTGCATTTCTTATTGCGAAGCTTAATGCTTAGGTAAATTGCTCTTAGCCAAAAACATATAATGAATAATTTTAATCATTTGTAAACTGAAATTGAGTGACACTCATAACAACATTGGATTTTAATAAAAAGTGTCAAGGCGAATCATCGGTTTAATAATTAATGAACATCTATTAGCCTAATGAGCTGAGCTTTACAATTAAAGAAAAATTACAAATAGGCTACGTATGGTAGATGCTCAACGACCAATATCTACCAACATATCTTGAAAATTTTACATACTCTTCACTCAAAGAAAGTGCTGTATTGTCCGTCACAATATATGCTAAAATCATAGAAAGCCTAAGCAAACTTTCAAAGATTTGGCGAAACATATAAATATATATATACATTATATAGTCGTTAAACTTTGAGATAAAATTCTCAAATTTTAATTCTTTATCCGTTACAATACCAACATCATTTGTTCTTATTGAAAAATAGTGAAAAAACTTTTTCCCTTCGCGTAACTATCATGTTATATAACGGATACAATGCATATTTATTAATATCCTTGAAATATTATTCAGAAAATCTCACGTTAAAACCACAATTAAACAACAATCCAAACGAAACACATCGTTTCTCATCAAAACATTTTCGTCCAAACACTATCAAAGATTCAATAAATAAATAAAAAAAACAACAAAGAAAAAAAGTCTATTCTTATAAATATTGTACTTCTAAAAACGTTATTTTATAATGTTTTATAGTTAATAAAGTGTACGTTTGAAATATGAAAGCAACTTCATGGATAACATTACAAGTTATCTCTACGGATATGTTGATAAAAACCAAGGATAATTGAATATGTTATTTTCTTAATACATTGTATAATTTATTATAAATCCTCATCAAGTTCTATATTTATTTAATAGGTGCCTGTTATCAATAATAATAAATTACTTTAATATCTACAATCTACTTTGCATAACATTCCAACTATTCCATTCATCTAAATTCATGAGCATAAAACCCTCTTCACCATTATACAAATAATACATGTTTTAAATAAATTATCAAGAATAAAAGGATTATCTGTATGTAAATTGTTCTGTTAAACACAATTAATTGCGCCAATGTAAGCACGAGTAAACACATAACATAAAACATTTTTGTAAAAAGTATATAGTTTGAACTTTTTTTTAATTATAGTTTACAAGCATAATGAGAAAAGAACGAGCCCAATGCTACGCAAGTTTTTATAAAATAAATGTTTATTCTCGTGTAATGTATGTGTATAGGTATATGTAATAATCGCTATATCCTCAATTTATTGAAAGCTTTCCTACTCCGTTTGCTTCTCGAGGAGCCAAGGAGCGTTTAGTGCTTAACATCGTGGAAATAAAAGAGTAAAAGCAGGCATAAAGCTTTTATCGCCACCACTCTCTGCCTTTCGCTATCAACGCGATCTCTCGCGTACGAAATCATCGAATAGCTACAAAAGGGCCAGCAAAGGGGGCGGATTACGTACTTGGAAAGTGTCGGAGCGAAGCTGCTACCGATTTGCTACATTGAACCACTGCCAATGAAAAATCTCCATTCCCGTTTATACACGAGGCGAACGCACGACCCCGATGACCTCGACCTCATCTACTTACATGCGATACAAGTCCCCGGCATTCTAATGAACAAAACTAAGACGTTAAGATGGCTACTGCTGGTCCATGGCCTTTCGCTCTATCGATCCACGGCTGCCGTCGACTTGGACACGACAGGACAATTTATCGGTAATTTAAAATCGGTTATCGGCAACACGTCCGATGAACTGTATGAATTGTATGAATTATTTGACGATCCATCACGAGAAAATGATAACAATAAAAAAGATAGAGGTTTAACGTATCGGCGAGTTCGGTAAAATGCCACTTTTATTCGAAAGTCAGCTTAAGCGTGTCTTAAAAGTTTTTAATTTACTTGAAATTTTTCATATGAAGATTAAACAACAACAAACTAAAACTAAAACAAAACAATAAAATACAATTCTCGTAACTTCGTAGATAATAGCGATGCCATTTCATCGACATTTTTAATCAAACTCATAGGATACGACCCTTCATATTTTATATTAAATGTCACTCTTACCTTAACTTTTACATTAAAAAGATGTTTCAAAGGAAAAATTGCTTTTTATAATAAAATCGAAAAATATCGAGTAAATTGATGCTAATTGCATAAAATGCACAATGTAAAGAGCTTTCAGAATAGCGTAATTTATAAATTACATGAATTACAATGCAGTGCTAGAAAAATATAAATTACATATTTTCTATAAATACCCTTAGACAAAATTTTGAAAATCGAAGGTAAAGTATTTAGTTAACTTTTAATTTCGACCGATGCTGAACGTATGTCACGTGATTTTTTTTTATCATAACTGTTTTCTAGCATTTTAAATATAAATTTATCTTACAGTATATTATTATATAATTATTTCTGCTTTCATTATTCAGTCATCCTGATGCTATCAGCTTTTTCCTCCATAATGCTACGTTTATGATTATTTCATATATTAGAAATAGAAAGAAGCTGTAATGCATAACAGGAATGCATTATTAATAAATGCTAATATACAAATTGTTTAATACCCAAGTTTTTTATGCATTAATATTATATTTATTAAATTGAAATAAAAAATCATAAAAATATTTTATTCGTTGTTTCAAATGCTAGGTACATTGGTTTTTATAACTGCTAATATATTCTTGCTATCATCATTGATATTTATAAACTATGCTTCAATACATTAACAAATTTGTTACAAATTTCTATGCTTTATTAACAAATGTTGTGTTATCTTATATCTTTGATTTTATATTTATGATAAAATACGTATTGGTTTATTTCTACCTTCAACGCTTTAAAGAAAAATATTACTTTTATGACTGCTAAGAGCAAGTAAGTAACTCAAAAAACAATAAACTAAATATGACGATGATATTATTAAGAACAAAAAAAGGAAAATTTTTCCAAAACTTGTAGATAAAAAAATCATTAATTAAATACTTTTCTCATATAATCTAAGAGTTTTATTTAAATACTCTCTAATTTAATCTATACATTACTTAAATTCTATGCCGCACAATATTAATAAATAATTAATCAAAAATTCTTGTCTTAATAATAAAATTTATCGAGACTAAAAAAATATATCATTTGTATAAATATTTATTAAACATTTTTCATAGAAGTCTGAAGTTTACAAGTTTTAAATTTATAAATTTATGGTTTTAATGAAAAATGATTATATTAAAAAAAATTCTTATATATAAAAAAAAAACTGTCGAAGTTAGATGCATTTTAAATATTTTATTCTAAAAATATCGTTAATATAAACATATTAAAGAAGTCAATTTTTCTCTCTCATTTATTAAATCCAAATTATTTATTGCTCATGAAAGTTTAAGAAAATGTTAATATATAATTATGATTCCCAGATAAAGAAATACGTATAATATAACAAGAATAATAATTATTCATTTATATAATAACAACATTCCATTTTCTATTATTAAGTAGTAATTTTAAACAAAATTTAATCCCTTAATTGTTCATTCGAATGCAAAAGGTATAATTTTACATCAGTAAATTGAACAATATATTTTTCTTACTATATGTATTCAATTATTAAATATGAATTTATATTATTAACACTTGTTATTTAATAACTTTATTACTATCATTCTCATTATTATTATTATAGAATATCAATTAAATTAGTTTGACTAATTCAATTCATTCGATGGCTAAACTTAATGTTTGCTTTAACATCCGAGTCCAATTTACATCTATGAATTATTGATCAAAATTTATTTATGCTCGAGTCTGATGAAACTTACATCATATCATAAAAGCTTTTACAACTGTGAATCCATAAAACATGTTTTCCTCGTTTTTGAACCTCTGCGATTCTGCCATCAGTTTTTAATCTTTTGGCGAAACTTATACTACAAAGTATTGAATTAATGATGTACGAATCCTGATTATTAAGCCGCAATATATATATATATATATATATGTAATCAATTTTATCGGTACAAAATTAATATTACATGAAATATTAATAACAAAAAATAATATATGAATGTATGCACGAAATAAAATCTAAAAACCTATATGTCACATATACGATGATATTAAATCGTAAAAATTAATAATTTATTTGTTACACATTCCAGAAATTATATAAATTTCATAATTATTAATTTTTTAATATTATTTATACTTTTAAATTTATATGCTTAATCTATGAGTACGATAACTTACCTTTAAAACACAATAATTGATTAAATGTCATTTCATGACAAATTCAATTGTAATACTCGAACATTTATGTGCAAAATAATAAAATAATTATAATAATTTTTAAAAATCATAGATTATGGCTTTATATCAAATATATGAATTCAGGTAATAATATCAAGTATTATATAAGCTGTCAAGTATTTTTAAAAAAGAAAAGTTTTTATAAACTTTTAACCCATTGGTATTTTCGATTTTACTTGTTAATTAGAAAATGAATTTTTACGTCCGTATTATAAGTTTTAAAAAGAATTGAATAAAAATTTTATAATAATTTCATAAGTTGTCCACTTAAATGAAATTATAATTAATTTATACAAAAAATATGGATTCGATAATTACGTATTAGTTACTTGAGTTATTTGAACTTTAAATACAAATGAACGTACAAAGTTTTTTCTTTCCATTATTAAACAATTCCTTTATCTCTGTAATATCATTATTTCATTAATAATAATAATAATAATAATAATGATGATGATGATGATGATGATGATGATGATGATGATGATGATGATGATGATGATGATGATGATGATGATGATGATGATGATGATGATGATGATGATGATGATGATGATGATGATGATGATGATGATGATGATGATGATGATGATGATGATGATGATGATGATGATGATGATGATGATGATGATGATGATGATGATGATGATGATGATGATGATGATGATGATGATGATGATGATGATGATGATGATGATGATGATGATGATGATGATGATGATGATGATGATGATGATGATGATGATGATGATGATGATGATGATGATGATGATGATGATGATGATGATGATGATGATGATGATGATGATGATGATGATGATGATGATGATGATGATGATGATGATGATGATGATGATGATGATGATGATGATGATGATGATGATGATGATGATGATGATGATGATGATGATGATGATGATGATGATGATGATGATGATGATGATGATGATGATGATGATGATGATGATGATGATGATGATGATGATGATGATGATGATGATGATGATGATGATAATAATAATAATAATAGTAGTACATGAATATAATTATAAGAATAATAAGCGTATTCATCATACTTTTGTGTTGTGTTTATTGTAATTTGTACAACAAAAAATTAATCATTAAATGAACGATACATTTTGAATGGAGGAGCGTTAATAATTTTTCCTAAATTATTGTGCTTAAATTAATGACTAACTTGAGAATTTTAACATTATAAACATCAAATTACTAAGTTACAAATGCCTCAACTCCAAATAAAAGTGAATAATATTGATTATCGAATGAATGTCATGACATTTCATGCACAATAAATATTGTATCGAGCTTCTGATTATTGGATATACAATTTTTTTTTTCTTTAACCATATAAATAGAAAAACTGTCTAATATAAATGGAATGCTATCGTAAATATAGGAATAATACAAATCATCGTGCTTGTGATTCGATGTAATATTGAATATTTCGCTATGATACATTGTTACATCTTTGAAAACTTTAATAAAATTCGTTACTTTGAATTTCTCTTTTCTTTTTACCTATGACTATTTCTAAATTGCGTTGACTAGAACATAAATGGTTTACGGGACGTGTATAATTATCTGCATTTTATTTGCAGATTTTTAAAAGATTTATAAAGGCACCTATGGTGAATCTTTATTATATTACTTATATCGTAAGAAAAGAAAATGAATTAATTGGTAATTATCTATTTTTTTAGCGCACTATTTGAAAATCACACAATATTTTTAATACGTATTGACAATATTTACAAAAAATCATAAATACGAGATAACTATTAACGTCGTTGATCGATGATTTTATAACCTATTTTTATTTTGTTGTAATAATGAAGAATTACAACACTAATCTCAATAATATAATGATATTCGTGCAAACGGTCATTAAATTCTCATGATTTGTCGATTTGATTTAATCGAGAGTTTTGAACACATTGGTACAAATCTAATATGTTCAAAATAGAACGTAAATTTAAAAAATATTCTTCACTAAACAGCCGTTTATACTTGCCAACAGAATTTTTTAAGTTAAATTAAATTGTTAACATTATTTCTAATGACTTTTGCTAGCTCCATTAATATTTTCAAAAATTTATAGTTGCTTAATTTTTTATATAATATTTAATATTTTATGCAAAATATCATTATGAAGGAATATGTTATATTATGGTATATTTTAACTATTATTTTTAACAAAATTGAGATTTTTAACATGTTACCACCGTGTGATAATATTTGTTTTTTTTTGTTTTTTTTTTTTTGTTTTTTTGTTTTTTTGTTTGTTTTGTACAACAAGATGATTTATTAGAACGATTTTTCTTAAAATGAGATTATTCCGATTCATCAAAATTTAAAATATAAAAAATATAAAATTTCAATATAGTTCAATTCACATATGAATGCAACAGTAGAATATTATTTAATAACAAAGTATTTATTGCAATGGCTCGTTTCGCATTAATTAATCGAAATAAAGATATCATATACAAAAAGGCTCATTCCATTATTAATTTACATGCTAAAAGTTATATAAGCGTTTGTTTTAAGATTATTCAAAATTTAAACATGACCTTTCCGTATTTCGCGATGTTCCATTACAAATGCATATGTATTATGTTATTAAGCTCTCGATAATATTCTCGAACTTAAATCTAAACTTTTGTATTTACTTTTTTCTAAAATAGTACAAAATAATAATAAAGTAAGCATTAAGCCCTTAAAAATGTACATAGCAATGATATATGTACTTTAAAAGTTGACGTACAAGCAAATGCGAAAGTTCTTGCTGTTTAATGTAATAATTTTCAATGGAGTCAAAGTCAAACAATATAATGATATAAAACCGAGGAGAAATGAGAATGGGGTGGAAGTGAAGGTATATGTACGTATGGAGTGGAGCGATCGAATAAAAAATTCCACTGCAACTCCAATTGCCATTGGCCTTCACTTGTCCTTCTTAGGTTCGAGATCGAGATCGGCATCGTCGATACTATTATCGATCTTATCCTCGTTCAACTTCTCCCCGGCAGCCTTCTCTACTTTCTGCTCTTCTTCGTCTTCCTCGAGTTCCTCGAGTAGCTTTTTTCCCTCTCCCGCGAGCAGGAAATCACAGGTATAGGGATCACCACCGTCGCGTATTCGACGAAGTTCCCGCTTCAGCATTTCCAGACATTCGCGGCGATCCTTCTGTTTATCCTCGAGGGAGCGGTTGTCGCCGTCGTCCTTGACCTCGCCCGCAGCCTCCTTCTCCTCGCACTCCTGCACGTAGCGCTCGTAACTCTCCACCTGCGTCAGGAGGAAGCTGTTACGTAGGTAATCGGTGCGCTTGCGCGATAAACCGACACATTTCTCACCGAGACAGCTCACCTCGATAACTCGAGGCTTACAAAAGGAAATTAAACGGATGACAGAATAGAAAATACTGGAGTGGGACTCCTAATGATGTTTTTTTTTTTCGAATAATGCAAGAGTACTGACCTAAATCTATTTGAAGGGTCGATCGGAAGTTGTGATTAATAAATTTCAACGCGTCGTCTCTCCTTTCCGTTATATAAAAATAATTATTTCAAAGTGAAAATACGCTTGTTGGATATGAGATGTTAGAGACTTATGAATACGCAATAATTGAATATGAGAAATTGCTTGTACGATTAGATCAATGTAAACTTGAAATTGTTAGGTTTTATTAATAGTTACATAGAAAGTAAGTAAAATTTCCTTTACTTTAATATTGATTTTTCCTAAGACGTTCGCTACAAACTTCAACTATACTTTTGAAGTAAAATTTATTATTAAACCGTCAGATAATAGAAATTTTTATTCAAGTTGCATTTAATGTTGACAACCTTCCAAAGCTCTTACTTTTTTCATGCTCCTAGTGTTCATTAGTTATATATAAAAAAAAAATAATTATTTAACTTCATAATAAATAAGGAGCAGATTAAAATTTTAGAATATAAGATATTTCAAGTTACAGATGATAATGGAGCATTCATTTATCTTTGATTTGAAAATTTCCAATAATTTGCCTGATCATAGCATATTCCGTCATCATTGACTTTTATATATAAACCTAAAAACTTCACTTTATTCTTCTTTATTAATATTTTATATTATTAATATAATATTATAATGCATAAAATATCAACAAAAAGAAATAAATGAAATAGAAATTTCTTTAACGCTTTTATCATTATGTTAGAAATAATAAATAATAAATATTGTAATAATGTTGATTTTCATTTGTCCAATAATATTATAAAAAAAGGAAACTTACAAAGAAAGTGCATTATTTTTGTAAATATTTAACACAACTTTGCAATATAAATGTCAACAAATATTGTCACGTATTGCAATAAATGATAATTTTTCATATTTAAATTATAAGTTATTTTAACAATTTTATCAGATGGTGATTCCATGTTTCTTATGAATAGTGTTACGTATGTATAAAAACAATATTTTTACAAAATTCATTATAAGATTTGCAGGCACTTTTACATAAATGTTAAATAATAAATATTTCTTGTCAAATAAACATTCCTAACACATTTCATAAATTTTGCCAAGTTGCTTGAGATTTTACCAAAATGTATTGGCATGTTGTTCAACGAAATATATATGTGCGAATATATATACATAAAAAAATATAAAAAATATTTATGCCAGAATATATTTATTGCGTATTGTAAAAGCATTACTAATCCAACTAAATATTTCATTAATGCTAAAAAATCATTAATACCGCATATCTTCTATTATGTATTTGTTTTACAAATTCAATTGAATTTGCCGACTAAGCACGAGCTATTCTTGTAAAAAATAGAAAAAAATAATAATCAAATAATATTTGTTTGTCCAATGTGCGAACAAAAACTAAATCAATTAAAATAGCTGTACAATATAATAAAAGAACGAAATTTCTTCAAGGAAATAAATGTCCACTGTCCGCGCGACTCCAATACGTCAGTCCAAGAAACGAAGTTAATATTTAAAACAACGCTCACAATACGGCGATAACCGAGTTCGCCAATATCCTGTTCAGCACTAAGATAAGCCACACTGAAAGAAGTATAAAGCGAGGTTTTGCCTTGTTCTCCAACAGCTGCTGGACGTCGTTCTGACGCTTCATGTGACTCGGAAGCCAAAAGCAGGCCTGAATAAGCCGGAGGAAGAGCCAAGCGGCACCAGCCAACGCTAGATACGCGATAGCCGTGTACACCATGTTGAACAGGTCCACCGATACCTGCTGATAGTACATCGTCATTGAGTGTCTCGGTCTTATCTGCAAAAGGTGCTCGCACTTAATCTCAAGCGATTTGTTTGATAGGAAATTTGAGGGGAAATGTTGGGAATACGAGGAGAAATGATTCTCCATTATTCCTTGCCCGTTTAATTAATTTCGGACTGTTATAGGTCATTTCAGCGACGATCCATTCAACAAAAAAATTGCCACGTCGCAACAATATTTTCTTTTCAGAATCGTGAATATTAGTAAGTATTCGATTTGCGACGAAACTCTGGGAATTTTAGCTGGAAGATTTATTTTTTTCTAAGTTCACTCCTCGAAATGTCCTCCGTGACTTAGCAAAATTTAAAGAATCCGATTGCATTTGGCTTTGTAAATAAAATAACAGGATAATATATATATATATATATATATATATATATATATATATATATACACACACATGTAATTAATTGGATAGATTTTTAATTTTATATAAGTGATTCATCGTGAAAATAATTCAAAAATATTATAAAATCGCCGAGAATTTTATTGAAATAGGACCATGACCGTATTATATTTTATAAGTGCTACAAAATTTTTAAGTAACATCGATTTTACTTATTGCTGTTATTTATAAAGTAGTGAGATTAAAATATTGCTAGAGTGAAAGTTACTAATCTATTGAACAAATCCATTATAACTGAGCTTCAGATGGACAATTTTTTGTAAACGCCGCGACAAAGTCAATTTAAAAGTTATCTTACAAAATAAATGGTTAGAATATTAATTTAGTTATAGTATCCATTATTAACGTAATACATTAAAAACAAATTGGTTTACAATTGCAAGATTTTTTATCAATAAGAAATTGTAATATAAAAATAATTTTTTTTTATATATATTCAACAGTAATAAAAGTAAAATAATTACGAACTTGAATACTAAACCAATTGAAAATTATGTAAATTATGGTAAATAATATTTATGATAGCGTTTCAAAGTATATATTATTTAAAAATAAAGAATATAATAATATAAGAACCATTGTTTTAATGTCATTCCTGCAATAATCTATAATTCACAATAATTAACATTTAAATTAAATCCAGTATTTTTTATCCTACGATTTACTTTGAATAAAATAAAAACTAATTTAGGCACAAGCCATTTTACACTTGTATAACTAATAAAACACAACTATTTTTTATGTAATTTCATTACATTTAGACAGACGTTTTAATACTACTTTGTTAAAGTTAAATAAAAAATTTCTAAAAATACTAACATTTTAATTTATTGAGGAAAATCTCGATTGAATATTATTACAATAATATTATTATAGTATTTCTTGTATAATTCTACGTCTGGCAATAAAAAAAAAATAAACAATAAAAAATTTGTTATCTTACAATATATTCAAACATATTTGACAGAAATTACACGATATTTATGTATAATGAATTATTTAAAAATTTTATTCTTTATAATATAACATCATAGAAATTTATTAAGCATTATGCAAATTATATAAATACTAATGTGTTCATAAATTAAAAATATTAATATACATATTTATATATATATATATATATATATATATATATCAATTGACACTGATCAATGGTTATATTAATATAATATTTAAATATATAAGTATAAAATAAAAAACTTTTCTTAAATTATCTTAGCTTACATAATATATTTCAATCGAGAGTATAATATAGTTACGTTATATTTAAATAATACTAAAGTATTAGACAAAATATTCTTAAAAATATAACCGCCCAACATTTTAACTGAATTTATAATAAAATTAAAAATTAAAATGAACAATGATAAAAGCATAGAGTAATTAAATTAAAATTCAATGAACTGAAATAATTCTTCGTTCCCAGGAATTGCTCACACTGCCATTTAATATGTTATTTACATGACTATTACTTTTAAAAAATGCTCATAATAAATAGTTTCCTTAAAAGACTAGTGACAATTTGTAAAATATTTTATTTAACATATTATAAATTAATATGTATGTAATTCTTTTCAAAAATGAAATAATGGAAGTTGTCATATAATTAATCAATCTTTTACGTTTCCAGAGCATTCACATTGCTTAGAATATCTGAGAATATTACGTGTGCTCCATAAGATGTAATTTCTTAAATAGTTATTATGTTAAATTAAGAAAAAAAATATATAATTTGTTGTTAATTTCTTCAATATTAAGACATTGTTATTTATTTAAATAATGGTGTAATATAATTTATATAATTTTTGTTACATCTTCTATTTTCACGCTATACTTTTTTTTTTTTTTTTTATTTTAATAAAAATGAAACATTACTATAACATTGCAATGTAAGAGAAATCTAAAGGAATATATTTTGACTTAACAATTATATATTATATATTAAAATCATTTTTAGTACAAATAATTTAAAATTAAAAAATTAAAATTTAAGGAATTGAAAGTATCTATAAATCAAAGCATCTTGACTTTAAAAATTGCTCTTGCAAGCTAACATCGCAATAATAGATATTGTTTTATTAAATTAATTAATTTATTTGTGATTTAACTTAGGTCTATTTTCAATTTTGCCTAAATTAATTTTCATCGCCAAATTCCTTAAGTAAAAAACGTGTCTCAATAATAAAAAAAATAAGGCAAATAAATATTCAAATGAATAACGTAATTTTACAAAAATAAGAATAAATTGTCGATTAGAATTATTTATGAAAGCAACAATTAATACACAGGGGCTTTCTTCGTAAAATAAAATTATGCACAACTAATAAAATATGAATGAATTAATGCAAGACAAGAGAAGTTATAGTGATCAAATTTATTTTAAAATTCTTTAATTAATTATGCTTGAACTTGAAGAATCAGTAATATCATTGTTATATTTACAAATTCACAATAAAAATCCAACATTGCATTAACAATACTAAATTATACAAACTGATTACTAGAATTACAATTTTCTTAGAAAAATAAAAGCCTAAATATTATTATTGTTATTACTATTATCATTATCATTATCATTATCATTATTATTATTATCATTATTATTATTATTGTTATTATTATTATTATTTTTGTTGTTGTTATTATTATTATTATTATTATTATTATTATTATACAATGGTTTGCTATAAAAACCATGAACCAGTCGTTGAGTCGAAATATGAATAATATTAACACAAAAGCTATTAATGCTTATTGATTGATTCAGTCATCTATTTCTCTCATGCAAATTCATCACTTCAAAAGTTCTCAGCGCATAATATATTAAGAGTAAAAACAATACGTAAATAGTCTAATTGTCGCAAGCTCGCCAGCTTTTTCTCCATTACGAGTTTTACCAATAAAAAAACACCCCGTTTATATTCCCTAGACAGCATTAAATTCGTGCCTCGTGCAAATTATTTTGCATCTTACTATAAAGCTCTGTTTTTTGGTGATGCTGATCGCGTGATGTGCTTATTGATCTATGGGCATCACGTAGCTCTGTACGATGGTATGTATTCTTTTGTGTGTGTGTGTGTGTGTGTGTGTGTGTGTGTGTGTGACATTTGTGGGGAGTGTACGTGCGGGCGCGCGCGCGATCTATCGTGTGCGTATATTCAGATGTTAAATTCTTTCGTACTTACACTTGCGAGTACGTGTCGATATACATGTATGCGTACATTGATTTATAATAATAAATTATGAATGACACAAGGAACATATGTGTATTTGTTTAGATATACAAATGTAATAACATTGAGTGAGAAACATTCGACTTACCACTTATTTCATTTTTTACGTGGCACATGTCGATTTGCCCTTATATAGATCATCACTCTCGATTCAGTTGCATATGCAAGTAAAAGAGTAAATTATTTTAAAAAAGGAAGATATATGCATATTCCTTGAGGATGAGGAGGAAAGAATATCGAAAGATTTAAAGGAACAGGAAGAAAGATATAAAGTGGATATTCTTTATTCTTCAAATGTTTATCATACGTATTTCTATAATAGTACCGTCGAGCTGTTAAAATAAAAATTGAGGACAACGCTAGAAATTAATCGAGTAGTTACATACAAATTGATAATATTTTATCAAATACATAACATTATACAATAGATTTAAATCACTATGATGAAAAGAATATTAATGATAATGCTATCATTTTCTATTTACCAATTCATTTACCTTTAACTTCGGCAGAAATTATCACATTCCTAAATACCGCTTGATCATTCCTCATAATAATTACACGTTAAACATCAAACTTTGAATATTTATAAAATCAATATAAATAGCATTTACTTTATTAATTTTACTCACAAGAAAAAGTCATTAATTTCAATAGTTGAAACAGTGTGTATAAAAGTTACTTCTGTATCTGAACAATTCATATTTACTAATTAAAATCAATAATTCATTTTGTTGAATAGAACATCATTATTAGTTTCTATAAAGAGATTATGGAAAAACAATTTTTACATATAACTAAAAATTATATTTTTAACATTACCAAGTATACAAGAATTACATCATTTCTAGTTGAATCTCGAAGATTTTATGATAAACTTGTAATCTTAAAATGTTTAACACACATCTTATCCAACATTTGAATTCTAATCTAATAATAAAATAACCTAATACTTTATAATTTATCATATATTTTGCTTAAATTTTTATCTTACATCCTTGAAACATTGTCTTCGTATAAATCTTACTACAATACTATTTTACAGACTTACAGAGTAAACAAAAATAATATCATCGTAATGTTTTTTTCTTATATGGTAGGCATATATAATTATTATGTCGTATAATCTTTTCGGCATATTTTTATTGTAATATTTAAATATTGTATATAAGTAAATACGACTAATAAAAGAGAACAGATTTTTAATTTTGGCTCAAATTAAAAGAAATCAAAATAAAATCTAACTATAGTTAAGTATAATATTTAATTGCTTCTTGAGGTTGTAAATTTATTCAATTTAGAGGATAAAGTAATTCGGACATAGCATATGATAGTTCTATAATTTAAATTTAACCAATATTTTATATTTTAGAATTATAAATAAATATCTATATGACTGAAATATAATTTAATTATCCATTTAATAATTGATTTTAATATATAGATTGTGATTGTATAATGTGTGTAACATTGCTCACGAAATTCAAGAGATTTTGAAATTACACGTAGGCTGATGGATATCATGAGTTTATTTTTCACACATTTACTAAACTTTATAAAGTAAAAAATTCTTTTTAAAAACCCTCAAATACTTCAATTGCTTAAAGTATTTTGAAAAAATACAAAAACTCTAAAAGTTAAAAACTTCTTATTAATGTACATTTTATTAATAATTTAACATATTAATATAATGACTAATTAGAAATTTGCATATATAATATTACATTCATTATTTTTTATTTATCTCATTAAGAAAAATCTATCATATTCCTCTAAAAATACATATTTAATTATCTCTTAATGTTATATCGGTATAATAATGCAAATACTCGAATGCGTATAATCATTTTTAACGAATATCGCGTGTATTTAAATCTTAATATTTAATTATTATGGTTATTAACATTATTTGCTAAATTGAACAAGATATCTCAAGTACTAATTGATAAACTATGTACGTAGTAATACCTAATAAATTTTACAAATTATAACAGAAATTAACATTCAATTATTATTTCTTGAAAATTGATAAAATCAGTGTTATAAGTAATTAATTATAGTTTTATCAAGAAATTTATAAACTATGTAATTTTGTATTAAGTAGTTTATGGATATCACGAGCAATAATAAGATAAAAGCAAAAACTATGTACGATTTTTTTTTAAATTTTAATCGTCATAATTAAACATAAAATATATTGATATTGCTTTTTTACTGTTTTAACTATCAAAATAAACAATTAGATATAATTTTTTCTACTTACTTTAATTATTCGATTTTAAAAACATAAGAACCGATGAAAATTCATATAATCCAAATCTTAGTACTTTTGTAATAATTTTGTAAATAATGTAATTAAAATTACTTTTTAAAACTTTAATAAAATATTAGACAAATCAATTATAGAAATTATTGCATCCATAATTGACTTTATATAAAATTTTTTAATCTCTTTACTGATTTACCATTTTATTTTAACTTAAATATAACCCTGAATTTTACAGAAGGATTATTGATAAATATTAATTTGTTAAAGAACATGATAAACATACAATTTTATAAAATAACCATCAAAGTTCTATTAAGAACTAATTTAAAAATTGCATTACAAATAATAACATTGAAAATCAATATTCTCCCATTTGGATTTAATAATATTCAATTGTCTATTAATTAATAAAATGTTTTTAAAGATATTATGTTAATTTGCAAAAGAACTAAAACATGTTTAAATCAAATCTGAACATTTTTAGTTATTTATTTATTTTTTTTTTTTAATAAAAAAACTATCATTATGAAAGTATAAACAACTTATTAATAAAATCTTAACTGTATGAAAGATATAATTTGTTTGTTAATTCTATATGTACATGTGTGTGTGTGTATGTGTATAAATATATATATATATATATATATATATATATATATGTATATGTATATATATGTATGCATATACATGTGTACATATATATATATATATATATATATATATATATATATATATATATATACACACACATATACACAAGGCAAGTCTTAATTCTCAAATACACTGTTTGTTAAGAAAAAAACTTTAATTTTTCTATCGTAAATTAAAAATAAGCTGTTATAGTTATTTCAAGTAATGAATAATTGTTTAAATGCTCATTTATATTTTGTTTTTTACTAATGCTCTTTTAATAAAATTATAACTAAATTATTAATTTTAAATTTACAAAATATTATCGATTAAATATAAATTATTGGTTTTTTAAGCATAAATTTGAGCAATTTTAGTTATAAAAAAAACAGAGTAATAAAAAGAAGAAAAAAAACTGGTGTTGTAAGAAATGTTAAATTTATTACTTATATACATTTTCAAATTAGAAAGGTAATCCACACCTTCTAATAGCATTGACGTGATAACAATTACTAAAAAAAAAAAAAAAAAAAAAAAAAAAATAATAATAATAATTATAATAATACTATTCATATGTAACCGAAAATTAATTCTTACCCACGTTAACGTTTATTTTAGCTAGATTTGAAATATATATATATATATATATATATATACATATATATATGTATATGTATATATATGTATATGTATATATATGTATGCATATATATATATGTATGCATATACATGTGTACATATATATATATATATATATATATATATATATATATATATATATGTATATGTATATATATGTATATGTAAATATACAAAAATTGATTGCAGAACAATGCAGCATCGGAGAAACGCGAATCAGGACGACATTCTTGTATTATATATTTCAATTAGCTACTTAGTCCATGAAAGAGGAACGAAGGGGCAGCCAATAAAACAGTCTTCTGTCAACTATTCCCACATTAACGTATGGGGATCATCTACTCACCTCAGGTCGAGCAGGACGGGAAAATCAGATCAGCTTGTTGCGCATATTCTTTCCGAAATCACTCGACGCTTGGAAAAGTAGAGGGAGCAAAAATAAAGCGAAATCGTGTAAGACGAGCTCGCCGCGATTCGAGGACTTAAGCACTGTGCATTTGTGCACGCCCGACTTGGATTGACACACGATCAAAAGTATGATGGCGAAAGAAATGGTTGAGGGTATCGTAGGGGCTGACACGAGCCGCCGAACACCGCACGACGACACTCGGCCACTACTACTGACCCCTATAAACATGCTCGATATATGGATTTTTGTCGTCGTCGGTCATATTAAAAAGAAAGATAGAGGGAAGGAAACAAATAGGTGGGCCGTGGCTACGACTACCTTGTAATCATAGCGACAAATTAAAGCTATCGCACATACTTGCTTCTCTCTCTCTCTCTCTCTCTCTCTCTCTCTCTCATCCCTCTACCTCTTTCTTTCGCAAATCGATGCAAGCCCGCTTCATTCTCATATTACGACGATGCTTTTTTTTCATATTATCTACCTTTTATAATAACAATGTAAATTATAACTGTACGGGGGTACTGTAACACCTTTGTTCTCCGCTCGCTTTGCCTTGATGATCGCGCCTTATCGATCAGCTCCCTATGCTCCAGTATTGAAAGTTTCAAACCAAGCGAACTCTGATTCGGCATCAATAATTTATAGGCACTCGACGAGCGAATGCTCGTTACAATACTGAGATTCCAACTTTTCATTTCTTTTTATCTCTTATTTAATAACTTGAATGAGTGAGTATTATTATTTATTTATTTATTTATTTATTAGTTTGTTTATGATTTTTTTATCAATCATTATATTTGTTATTATCGTTTGTTATCGTTTGTTATCGTTTGTTATTGTTGTTGTTGTTGTTGTTGTTGTTGTTATCGTTATCGTTATCGTTATCATTATCATTACCGTTATCATTATTTCTTTTGAATTATCTCGTACATAGTGTGTGTGATAATCAAATTTTAACTAATGTTAATTACTATTAAGACGAATAAAGAACTTAAAGACACTATAAGAAGGCATAGTCGTATTAATAATAGAATAATTGAAGAGAAAATTATAAAATTCGAATAAGATGCTCGGGCTTAAAGAATTTTATATTTTTAAAGAAAACAGTTAAAGCATAATAACTGAAAGTATATCAAGCAACTAGTTATTTTTTCTATTAGAATATCAAATATCATTACATGTATGTTTTACCTACTTTCCTATATCAATAAGCAGCATTAACGTACACACTAGCGCTAGTACGTTACTGTGATTACACATATGCATGTATGTATGTATGTATATATTTATATATGTATATATGTATATATGTATAATGTATATGTGTTTAAGAAAAAAAAAAAAAAAAGAAAAAAAAAATGAATCATCTTTTGATATTACGTATATTATAATTATATGGCTTTACAATTTTGAAACTGAGTTCAGTCATTGTTTGTTTTAATGAAACATGCAACTATACATCTCACAGGGAAGATCAAGTTTAGTAACACAAAAGATTGACTGTTGTTCAATTACTTTGTTGATAAATAATATCCGATTTATCATATATTGAGGACTATAAACCATATCCTCGAAACATTATTAATTTTTGTTTGTATTTTCCAATCGGCAGCGTTATACGTTACCCTCGTAAACCATCACTATAACGAACATTATAAAAGAAATTTTTGTTATCAATGAACTCGTTTGTATATATAATACTCATTTACACCAATGTCCCGATATCATCATAAGGACATTGTCTCTAACATTAAAGGAAGTCTATACACGAACTTAACAAATAAGGTACATAATATACGTATATAATCATGATTGTAAAAATGAAATCCAATCTAAATTTCATATTCGTTTTGTAAAAATATCACACGATGCACAAGCTCGTCCCCGTCGATCAACTCGCCTAGGACAACATCCAACTAATGAGATTAAATAATACAAAAATCGAAGGAAAAAAGCAATAATAATACCGAAAGACTTAAGAATTAACGAAAAAAGCATTCATCTATTTAAAAATTAATTTAAATCATGAATAAAAAGGTGTCATCAACATTATTATCGTGATCGTCATCGTCATCGTCATCAACTTCGTCATCGTCATCGTCATCGTTATCGTTATCGTCATCGACATCGACATCGTCGTCGTCGTCGTCGTCGCGGTCGTCGTCGTCGTCATCATAATTCATGATTTACACCTTTTCAACAAGCTAGAGTCGCATTTATGTACAAAAGACAGTGACGATGGAGCAAAAAGCGCTCGCGCGTAAAGCTCCTTCATGAAGCCATCGTCGCAGTAGAGGTTGTGGCGACAGTGACGGTAGCCGTCGTTGTCGGCGACGTGGCCGTGGCTGTGGTCATCGTGGTGGTCGACGTCGTGGGCGTTGTATTGGTCGAACGCACGTAAAAGAGGAGATAAGGCGTCGCCGAGTTGCGGGAATTCGGAGCGAGTTTATCCTGGAGCTCGCGCACGGCGATAACCCGCACGGCTTCGTCGTCACACTCCAGCCAGGTGCCGCTCTCGTGACGCGAGGTCTGCCTAATGCCGCAACACTCGTTGCCCCGACAACCATACTGCTGCTGCTGCTGTTGTTGCTGCTGCTGCAGCTGTTGCTGATGATGCTGTTGCTGTTGTTGCTGATATTGCTGGTATTGGTGCTTGTTCCTCAATGGCGGCTCCTTGTTCTCATTAACATTGGACTTGTTACCGAAGCAGCTCAGCAAGGCCGTAGTGATCTTGCTGTTATCTGAGCCATGATGGCCATTTTGTTGGCCACCCGACGACTGATAGTTTTGTTGCTGATGGTGTTGCTGCTGCTGCTGCTGCGGCTGTTGCTGCTGCTGGGCCTGTTGTTGTTGTTGCTGCTGCTGTAGTTGTTAGGGAATTCAATCATATAAAAGTGTATTTGGATTTGACTATTGTCGCGCTTAAATTTAGTAAAATAAAATTGCTTAGTAGGAGTAAAAAGATCGACCAACCCGTTTAAAAACATAACGCGATTTGGCATTTAATTTATTTTGTTGGTTTTTTTTTTGTTTTTTTTTTTTTTTTTTTTTTTTTTTTTTTTTTTTGTTGATCTCAATGCAGTTTCTTTGGGGGTAAATGCATGTATCAAACTATTTGAATTAATATAAGTATTTAAGAAAGAAAAAAAGAAAAAAAAAAGTCATTTAATCAACTTAAACTACGTATCGATATTTTAAGTGGATTGACATTTTAAGCGTTAAAAGGCAATAAAGTCTATTAACCCCCCATACCTAATATTCCAAGCAAGAAAATACTTTTAAAAAAAGCTTTAACAAATTTTATAAGGATTCAGCTGATTTTTCACTTTTTTCATTCTCCACATAGTTGTTCATCATAGATAAATCTAGATGGAATTTCATAAATTTTATAAATAGAACAAAAAACAATTTTTTTTTTCGTTTTATAAAATCATTAATTTTTATTACTTCACCGACCTTAATATTGAAAATTGTATATGAAAAATATACAACAAATACTCGACAACGACACATAAAGGAATAGAGAAAGAGATATGCAGAGGGA